ATTTGCTTATTTATCTTGAATCATTAATACTAGAATGATTGTTGCTGCAGCTATGGCTATTGTTTTCGCAATAATTAGACTTTCAGAGTGGCGTAGCTTTTTCAAGTTTAGTCTCCTTTTTGGGAAAGAGAGAAAAATTATTTCTATTTAGTTTTGGTTTAGAGCTAAAATTGTTTTACCTTTGTTAAGATCAATGAAGGGCATCTTGCTTTGATTTAGTGGTAATTAAAGATCAAGACCCGAAATGATAGCGATGAGATGAAAGGTTTTGAACGGAATGGGTTTGTCGAGGTTCCTTGAACACTGTTTGGCTTCATTAATTAACTGTAAAAGTTCACTACCAAAAATCACACTGTAATTTATGGTGATAGAAAGGAAAATTGTTGTTGATATAGATAAATGTTGCGTAAAAAGAAGAGAGGGAATACGTTTTTGCATCAACAAAGAAAAATAAATAAACTTTTCTATTTGATGATTAACAGTTGGTTTATCGATTAATCGCACAAAAAAAAAGTTATGCAAAAGCCAGTGAATTTCAGCCATTTTGCTTGTAAGAATTTATTAAAAAAATTTTTTTTTTCAAGATTTTTAGTTGAGGATTATAATGACAAGTAGTTCTAAATGCAGAACTAGCGCAAAAAACCTTAAGCAGCCGATGTCAGGGGAATTCTGTTTACCCATGAAGTCTACGTGAGTGTACTCATTAGATTTTGGTCTGACATAGATGGCTACACCTTGAAATTAGCCAGTCTCATTCACCTTTTAGACTGTTAGATGCAGAAGACCTGTGGCTTCTGAGGTTTGCTTGTTGATAAATGCTGCAAAGTTTCTCCGTTTTTTTTCTCCGTCGTGATGTTCTTCTGTCATGTCTCGCCTTTGGATAGAAAACCTCAAAAAATTAGGGTTTGGGTGCATCATCTTGAGAAATTTTTTTATTGATTTTTGTTGAGGCATTGCCACTTTCGGGTTTCTTTATCACACGAATTCCATTTGACTAAAAACTCAACCGAATACGCATAAAAATTTTGCGCTTATTGCTTTTTTTTGCCGCTTTTTCTCCCCTCTTGTTGAAACACCAAACGGTCTTGAATTACCGGATAAAAAGCCGGTTCAACTTCGATTTTTTTCCACTCTCTGCGTCAAATCTTTTAGTGTGCACTGCCCTCGAAAGATTTTTTTGGCGTTTCCTGGATGTTTGCAACTGAAAGACTTTCCTCTTCTAGCTATATTTATTTGATTTTATGCAGGCGGTTAGGTTGCCAGGATCTTTTCTCAACCGTTCACACGACTTATGCGATTTTGTCGGATTCGATAAAGGAAGGCGATTACAGTGTAAAAGATTGAACGAAGGAAGAAAAGCTGAAAAGGGATGTAAGCGGAATTGACATGGAAAAGAGGATGGCAATTTTGCGAAAGGACGGATGTTTCAGGAAAACTCGGAACCTCTTAGTCATTGTTTTCCTTATTGCTCCTAAGCAGACCACAAGCACCATATCGGTTTTCCAAAAAATCTTTGAAAAACATCACTATTTTTTTATCGTGTATGTTTTGCTTTATTGTTATCGTTTTATTTTCACCGATCACTTTTTTGAGTCAAATTTAAAAGAAAAAATAAAAAAAAAAGATAAGAAGAAAAAATTATTGGGTAAAGAAGAAGCCGACGTTTAACATTTGTCGTGTAAAAAATAGCATTCAGGGTAATGAAATATTAAATTTATTTCTCAAACTGCATTTTCGTTCATTTTTGCTTTCTGATAATTTTTTTATTTAATTAAACTTTTTCCGCTATTCCTGTTTTAATGAACAACAACTTATGCCGTTTAAAAATTTATAAATGTGTTAGTAATGCTCGTCGATAGATATGCTGATTCATTTACTGAACTTTTCTTTGAACTTCCTTACTTTTTCTTTTGAACGGTCTCAACTGCTTCTTAACGGCCCTCTAATAATTTAGATTTTTCTTTTTTATTCGTGCACTTCATTTACTTCATATTTGGAAGTACGTTTTATGTTTGCACTGTATTTATTTCATTTGGTCGCTATGGGCTTTGCGTTTTGCAGTACTGAAATTTTTTTAATGAATTAAGATTTAATTAGTTGATAAAATTTTTTTCAGGGCACTTTTGTGAGACAGAAAAAAGCCAGGAAGAAAGAAAACAGTAGAACGAGGAATGAAAAGTGCAGCTTAAAAGGAAGAAAAAAATCTTTATTAACGTGAAAAATCCTACTGATAATGCTCGACAGTGGAAATTATGATATTGATGATGACGATGATGATTATGATGACAACACAGTAACGTCCGTGATGATGATGGCGGATGATCGGCGGCCAAGGCGACAACTTACGCCTTTGACAAGGTTAGATTCAATGACGCCGGCACCAGTTTCCTGGAATTGGAGGAGTTGTCTGTGGTTGTGATGATGTTGATGTTGGCAGGTTGGGCGATCTTTAGCCGCTGTCCTGATTATTTGACTTTGGAGCACATACAGGAGACTGAGGGCAGCAGGGTAATAGATAGAGAAATTTAAGGAATTTTTTTTTTCTTATATTAAGTAAAGGCATTTGAAAAGGACAATTTAATTCGTGAAAAGGTATTGTTTCAGTCTTCTACTGAAACAATTATTAAA